TGTTGCAAGTGGTAGGGCAAATAGGATTTTACGCTATATCTACAGACATACTGAATACAAGTCTAAAGAGGTTATAATTTCATTGTACATGTCACTGGTTAGGCCACATTTGGAATATTGTGTTCAGTCTTGGGCTCCTTACCTTGGGAAAAACATTGAATTGTTGGAAAGGGTTCAGAGAAGCGTTACTAGAATGGAGCCTGGAATGGAGGGGCTGTCATACCAGGGGAGGCTGAAATCTCTCAAATCGTTTTCTCTTGAAAAAAAGAAGAGTTAGGAGGGATTGAGGTGTTTAAAATTGTAAAGGGAATTTATAGTGTTGATGCATCATCTTTTTCATATTTAACAGTGAGAATAGTAGGACTAGGGGTCACAAATATAAATTTTGGCAAGGTAGGAGTCATCTTCAGCTAAGACACTTTCATTTTTCTAACAGTGTGGCTAGCCTTTGGAATGGGTTGCCTTCAGATTTTGTAGAGGCAGTAAATTCAAGTGAGTTTAAGAAAAAGCTTGATAAGTATATGAATGATAAGGGCTGGCTTTATTATTTAAAAAAAAATATTTTAATTTAGTTTAGAGGATGGAACAGCCGAGATGAACCAATAGGTCCCATGTTGTCCCAAAATATTATGTTATGTTAATCAGATGTTGTATGTTGATCATTTTGTCTACAGCTAAAGTGTAGATGTTAAATAATCAGATGTTGTGTGTTAATCATTTTGTTTACAGCTAAAGTGTAGATGTTAACTAATCAGGTGTTGAATGTTGATCACTGTATCTATAACTAAAGTGTAGATATTAGCTAATCAAATGTTGTATTTTAGTCATTTTTTGTAGCTAAAGTATAAATGTTAACAAAATAGATGTTGTGTGTTAATCATTTTATCTATAGTTAAAGTATAAATGTTAACTAATCAGATGTTGTCTGTTAATTATTCTGTCTACAGCTCATAATATATTTAAAGGTCGTTTTTGTTTCATGTTAAAGCTACACAATAAACTATCTACCCCAGATTTTTGCGTCGTAAGTCCGTAAATTTAACAAG